GAATAGTGAGAGGAGCCAGGACTCAAACCCAGGCACTTCAACATGGACATCAGGGGTGCACATGAGCACCCTGGAATAGTGAGAGGAGCCGGGACTCAAACCCAGGCACTTCAACATGGACATCAGGGGTGCACATGAGCACCCTGGAATAGTGAGAGGAGCCGGGACTCAAACCCAGGCACTTCAACATGGACATCAGGGGTGCACATGAGCACCCTGGAATAGTGAGAGGAGCCGGGACTCAAACCCAGGCACTTCAACATGGACATCAGGGGTGCACATGAGCACCCTGGAATAGTGAGAGGAGCCGGGACTCAAACCCAGGCACTTCAACATGGACATCAGGGGTGCACATGAGCACCCTGGAATAGTGAGAGGAGCCAGGACTCAAACCCAGGCACTTCAACATGGACATCAGGGGTGCACATGAGCACCCTGGAATAGTGAGAGGAGCCAGGACTCAAACCCAGGCACTTCAACATGGACATCAGGGGTGCACATGAGCACCCTGGAATAGTGAGAGGAGCCAGGACTCAAACCCAGGCACTTCAACATGGACATCAGGGGTGCACATGAGCACCCTGGAATAGTGAGAGGAGCCAGGACTCAAACCCAGGCACTTCAACATGGACATCAGGGGTGCACATGAGCACCCTGGAATAGTGAGAGGAGCCAGGACTCAAACCCAGGCACTTCAACATGGACATCAGGGGTGCACATGAGCACCCTGGAATAGTGAGAGGAGCCAGGACTCAAACCCAGGCACTTCAACATGGACATCAGGGGTGCACATGAGCACCCTGGAATAGTGAGAGGAGCCAGGACTCAAACCCAGGCACTTCAACATGGACATCAGGGGTGCACATGAGCACCCTGGAATAGTGAGAGGAGCCAGGACTCAAACCCAGGCACTTCAACATGGACATCAGGGGTGCACATGAGCACCCTGGAATAGTGAGAGGAGCCAGGACTCAAACCCAGGCACTTCAACATGGACATCAGGGGTGCACATGAGCACCCTGGAATAGTGAGAGGAGCCGGGACTCAAACCCAGGCACTTCAACATGGACATCAGGGGTGCACATGAGCACCCTGGAATAGTGAGAGGAGCCGGGACTCAAACCCAGGCACTTCAACATGGACATCAGGGGTGCACATGAGCACCCTGGAATAGTGAGAGGAGCCAGGACTCAAACCCAGGCACTTCAACATGGACATCAGGGGTGCACATGAGCACCCTGGAATAGTGAGAGGAGCCAGGACTCAAACCCAGGCACTTCAACATGGACATCAGGGGTGCACATGAGCACCCTGGAATAGTGAGAGGAGCCAGGACTCAAACCCAGGCACTTCAACATGGACATCAGGGGTGCACATGAGCACCCTGGAATAGTGAGAGGAGCCAGGACTCAAACCCAGGCACTTCAACATGGACATCAGGGGTGCACATGAGCACCCTGGAATAGTGAGAGGAGCCAGGACTCAAACCCAGGCACTTCAACATGGACATCAGGGGTGCACATGAGCACCCTGGAATAGTGAGAGGAGCCAGGACTCAAACCCAGGCACTTCAACATGGACATCAGGGGTGCACATGAGCACCCTGGAATAGTGAGAGGAGCCGGGACTCAAACCCAGGCACTTCAACATGGACATCAGGGGTGCACATGAGCACCCTGGAATAGTGAGAGGAGCCGGGACTCAAACCCAGGCACTTCAACATGGACATCAGGGGTGCACATGAGCACCCTGGAATAGTGAGAGGAGCCGGGACTCAAACCCAGGCACTTCAACATGGACATCAGGGGTGCACATGAGCACCCTGGAATAGTGAGAGGAGCCGGGACTCAAACCCAGGCACTTCAACATGGACATCAGGGGTGCACATGAGCACCCTGGAATAGTGAGAGGAGCCAGGACTCAAACCCAGGCACTTCAACATGGACATCAGGGGTGCACATGAGCACCCTGGAATAGTGAGAGGAGCCGGGACTCAAACCCAGGCACTTCAACATGGACATCAGGGGTGCACATGAGCACCCTGGAATAGTGAGAGGAGCCGGGACTCAAACCCAGGCACTTCAACATGGACATCAGGGGTGCACATGAGCACCCTGGAATAGTGAGAGGAGCCGGGACTCAAACCCAGGCACTTCAACATGGACATCAGGGGTGCACATGAGCACCCTGGAATAGTGAGAGGAGCCAGGACTCAAACCCAGGCACTTCAACATGGGCATCAGGGGTGCACATGAGCACCCTGGAATAGTGAGAGGAGCCGGGACTCAAACCCAGGCACTTCAACATGGACATCAGGGGTGCACATGAGCACCCTGGAATAGTGAGAGGAGCCAGGACTCAAACCCAGGCACTTCAACATGGACATCAGGGGTGCACATGAGCACCCTGGAATAGTGAGAGGAGCCGGGACTCAAACCCAGGCACTTCAACATGGACATCAGGGGTGCACATGAGCACCCTGGAATAGTGAGAGGAGCCGGGACTCAAACCCAGGCACTTCAACATGGACATCAGGGGTGCACATGAGCACCCTGGAATAGTGAGAGGAGCCGGGACTCAAACCCAGGCACTTCAACATGGACATCAGGGGTGCACATGAGCACCCTGGAATAGTGAGAGGAGCCGGGACTCAAACCCAGGCACTTCAACATGGACATCAGGGGTGCACATGAGCACCCTGGAATAGTGAGAGGAGCCGGGACTCAAACCCAGGCACTTCAACATGGACATCAGGGGTGCACATGAGCACCCTGGAATAGTGAGAGGAGCCGGGACTCAAACCCAGGCACTTCAACATGGACATCAGGGGTGCACATGAGCACCCTGGAATAGTGAGAGGAGCCGGGACTCAAACCCAGGCACTTCAACATGGACATCAGGGGTGCACATGAGCACCCTGGAATAGTGAGAGGAGCCGGGACTCAAACCCAGGCACTTCAACATGGACATCAGGGGTGCACATGAGCACCCTGGAATAGTGAGAGGAGCCGGGACTCAAACCCAGGCACTTCAACATGGACATCAGGGGTGCACATGAGCACCCTGGAATAGTGAGAGGAGCCAGGACTCAAACCCAGGCACTTCAACATGGACATCAGGGGTGCACATGAGCACCCTGGAATAGTGAGAGGAGCCGGGACTCAAACCCAGGCACTTCAACATGGACATCAGGGGTGCACATGAGCACCCTGGAATAGTGAGAGGAGCCGGGACTCAAACCCAGGCACTTCAACATGGACATCAGGGGTGCACATGAGCACCCTGGAATAGTGAGAGGAGCCGGGACTCAAACCCAGGCACTTCAACATGGACATCAGGGGTGCACATGAGCACCCTGGAATAGTGAGAGGAGCCGGGACTCAAACCCAGGCACTTCAACATGGACATCAGGGGTGCACATGAGCACCCTGGAATAGTGAGAGGAGCCGGGACTCAAACCCAGGCACTTCAACATGGACATCAGGGGTGCACATGAGCACCCTGGAATAGTGAGAGGAGCCAGGACTCAAACCCAGGCACTTCAACATGGACATCAGGGGTGCACATGAGCACCCTGGAATAGTGAGAGGAGCCAGGACTCAAACCCAGGCACTTCAACATGGACATCAGGGCATCCTAACCATCATCTTAATGTATGCCAAACGCATGTCTCAACTTGTTGTTGTTGTTGTTTGTTTGTTTATTTTTAACCTTAGGAAGGCTCTTCAAACACAAAGTATTCATTACTAGAATAAAGCCGCACTTAGGTTTCCAAACTTTCTAGCACCAAAGCAACATATCTTTTTGCTCAGATTCTGCATGCACATTTTGCAGTGCCCTCGCATACTCTTCTTCTAAACCCACTTTCTGCTTTTTCAAATGTTACCTGTTTACAACATCCAGTTCATGTCTCCCAGATGCAATCTTTCCTCTTTTCTCTCTGACCACCACAATCCCTGTTTTGTTCCAGTTACTTGTGCTCCCCAAATGGCCCATGTCCTGCGAGTTCCTTTTCTTAAGTTATTTTGGTCTCAGTTTATGATATAATCAGATGTGGGTGACCTGGGCTGTCTGTTCCTATTTAGGAATGAGTCACATCAAAGCGGATGGAGATTTGGGGTGGAAGGAGTGTGTCCCTCTAGGCAGACTGGACTGGAAGTGGCACTCCTCTGCCCCAGCCTTGCTATCCACAACCCCTCTAGGTCTGTTGCCCTTCATGTCAGCTGGGAACAGCCACAGGTTGTGTATTCAGCAGCCACAGGTGGCCAGTAGCTGCTGTCCTGGCCATCACAGGTGGAGACCATCACATAATTTCTGTGATGAGCCCAGAATCCTCTCCTCCCTGACACTCACTGGGCTGGAGCCCCAGTTCTCTGTGAACTGGAACTCAGTAACGGATACATAGCTCGCTCTGAGGGTAGCTCATCTGTGCCATCCTGACTTCCAAACACAGTCATCCTCTGTCTCCTGAGTTAGTTCTCAGGGCACTCCTGGCACCCTTGAAGTACTGAGAGATGCTTTAACCCAGGATGGCAAAGAGGTCTCCATGGAGGCCACATGCTGGCACCTGCTGGCGTAAGCAGCTGCCCTGTTGCTCATCCACATATTGAAAGCTGAGGCCTGGGTGGAGCTGGTGTTCACATGCAAGCATCACCTGTGACTCTGGCATCACACACGAATGCAAGTTTGAGTCCCAGCTGTACCACTTCTGATCCGGTTCTCTGCTAGTGTACTTGGGTAGGTGGCAAAGGATGACTCAAGGATGAGCTCCTACCACTCATGGAGGAAACCCAGATGAAGATCCTAGCTCCTGGTTTCAGCCTGGCCCCACCTCAGCCTTTGTGACTATTTGGGGAGCTAACCAGTGGATAAAAGATCTCTATCTTCGCTTCCCTCCGCTTTCTCTGTTACTCTGATTTTCAAACAAAGAAAAAGAAAAAAAGAAAGAAAGAAAATTGAGTCTTTTGTCTTCAGCCTCTTCTTCCGTGCTTCCTCTTCAGGTTCTCCAGCTGTTTTTGTGGCTTCGTGGGCTGTTGCCAGGCATTTTCTGGAAGATGCTGGGTAAGCTGCTGGAGCAGAGGCAGCAAGTGCATTTGACATCCCCCAGTTTTTCAAACAGCAGAGGGACTTCCTCAGTGTTACCCGGAAGAGGCCTCTTCCCCCAAGGCATGCCCACCAATCCCTGGGGTGTGGGTCTCCAGAAGGGCCTAGCACCCTCAGCCACACCGGCATCTCCCTGTCTTAGGCTCCCCCCTGACGGCGCTGTGTGTTCAGGTCAGCAGCTGCAAGACCCCAGGCAGGTATTGCTGGGTGGGGAAGCTCCAGGAGGCACCAGACCTGGGATGTCCCTCCCCTCTGCTGAGCAGCTGCAGGTGATGGGCACAGACTAGTCCTCTGCTGTTGTTTTCAGAACAAATGAGGCATGGGGAGGCCACTCTGGGAGTAGGCACAAGGAACGCAGGCTTGGAAGCAGCCCAGGGAGAAGGGTCATGGCACGAATGAGTGGAAATTATTTTCTCAAGGTCATAAAGACAGAGCCAGGAGAGTGAGTACAGAAGGAGGATAATGCCTACACGTCATAGTGCAAAGTCAGCTCCAACTTGTTGTTTCAAAATACAAGTCAACTCCTTATCTTGGTGTGGAGGACAGGTTCCAAGATCCTTGGGAAATGCTTAAAATTCAGCTCTTACTTAGGCTGTGCTTTTTCCTCTACAGTCACTCTTAAATGCAATTTAAATTAGACATCAAAGGTTAACAATATTAAAACAGAGAAGTTACAGTAATGCACCAAGAAAATGGCATCCTGATTCTTACTCTTTGGGGCTGTTGTTAGGTAAAATAAGCTTTACTTGAACCCAAATACTTGGCATCATGTCAGTCAATCTGATAACTGAGCCCATGCGTGAGTAACAGGCAGGCAGCGTATACAGGATGGATACGAAGGATGAAGAGCTGATTTCTGTTCTGGTGGGAAGTAGTAAGATAGCTCTGGGTATTGTCACACCACACAGGGGTGCAGTTTAAAATGAGTGATTGAGTGCCAGAGTTTTCTCTGTGATGTGCTCAGACGGCAGTTGGTTGCAGATATACAAAGCTTAGGAAGTGAAAAGTCAGATTAGAAGTCAGGGCTAAGGTAAAAATTATTAACTCGCTGAATTTGCTTCTTACAAAAGAAATCACGATTTTTTTTTTAACTTCTCTGGAGAAAGTGGAAAACTCTATTAATGTTTTCTATTGTCCCTTGTGACAAAAATCAGCCAGGCCACTGCATGCAGGGGTCACAGGTTTGTCACCCAGGCCCCTGTGGCATACCCTGGCCTCTGGAGGCAGCTGAGCTGATGTCATGCTCCTGGCAAATCCTGACAGCTGGGCTTTGGGACCCAGGGTCTTTGGCTCCTGGGCTCCTGCACTTGTGTGTGGAGTCAGGTGGCTACCCTGTTAGCCTAGTGGCATGGTGGTACTCCCAAGTGGCCCCGGACAGGCAGGTTCCAATAGCTGCCAGGACTCAGGCCACACAGACTGGGGGGCTTCTGTACATAGGTCCACTTCCGGGAATGAGATGTGATTGGGCAGCCCAGCACCCTGCTCCTGACCGTCCCTAGCTGCCCTTCCTTCTGTAGGTGCTGGGACATCAACACCAATGCATCCATCTGGTGGGTCATTCGAGGACCTGTGATCCTCTCCATCCTGGTGAGTGAACATCCTCCTCTCAACCAGGAATTGGGAGGGTGGATAGAGACAGTGGTGGGCTCCCTGGTGGGAGGACAGGGGTCTGGACACAGGGCTGCAAGCTCATTCCCACTGCCAAGAGGCATGAATTGCAACCTCCTCGGCCCCTTCCAGTGACTGGTAGCAGCCTGGAGTCTGGAAGCTCTGCCCCCTAGTCAATAGTGGGTGGGAGTAGTGGTGAGTGGCAGGGCAAGAGGCCAAGCCTCACAGACCCCTCTCTTGCCCAAGTAGCCCCTAAACTGCCTCCTGGCCCTAAGCTGGCTGCCTCCCAAGGATGTCCCTTGTGTAGATTCAGCCTGGTGCTTCCTGATTTTTTTTTTCAAAGTGTTCTCTTATTAAGCTGAGCTAGAGTCATGGGGGAAGCAGGGCACAGCTGTGGTCTGGGGACTCTACAGTGGGGACAGTCCCTGAGGGATGATCTGGGGTGATTGCTGTGGGCAAAGATGGGGAGGGGACTCCTGGCTGCCCTTGCCAACCACTTGGGAACTTGTCACATGTGGTACAGACAGAGAAGAAAAAGAGCTCTTATCTGCTGGCTCCCTCCCCAAATGCCTGTGCCCACAGCAGCCAGTTGCTGTGTGTGTGTGTGTGTGAGAGAGAGAGAGAGAGAGCACTCAAACAGTATCACAGCTGCCTCCCAGGGGGTTGGACTCAGGAGACCAGCATCCCTATGCCAGCATTCCCATGCCAAACGGCCATCCCACCTTCTAGGATATGTGAACAAGATCCCAACAACTGCAGTGATTCAGGAAGAGAGGTAATCCAGGGTGGCTTCCTGGAGCCAGTGACTGAGCCACCAACACACTCCACAAAGCTCTGAAACAGGTTCTCAAAGTGTGGTCCGCAGACCAGCAGCTTTTGCCTCTGGTCCCTGACCACGCCCCTCACAAGAGAGCTCATGAAACCCACCAAGTCTTGGGGCTCTCAGCTAGGTTTGCTGAGCCCTAGGCTGCAGGGTGAAGCCCCAACCTTCCGTACCCTGAACCCTGGGACCACATGCTGGTCTTTCCCCTGGACAACCACGCTCCTCTTCCTCATCACGTGGCGCATTTCCTGGGAGCTGCTCAGGAGGACAGATGCCTTGGGCTGAGCCAGGCGTGTGTGACAGATCTGCAGCATGTTCTGACACTGGGCGTGGGTAATTCATGGAGCCCTAGGCCGTGCAACTGAGCCAAGCGGGGGGGGGGGGGGGGGGGGGGGGGGGGGGTTGTGGCTTTCTGCCAGAGCCTCCGGGGAGGGCAAACAGTGGTCCAGGGAACACTGGGGTCCAGAGCGGAGGTGAGGAAGCCAGACGATGCCCTCAGCCCCCGTCCTGGTCTCATATTCTGCAGGTGAATTTCATCCTCTTTATAAACATTCTGAGAATCCTGCTGAGAAAACTCAGAACCCAGGAGACAAGAGGAAATGAAGTGAATCATTACAAGTGAGTGCAAATGGGAGGGCAGTGTGCTTAATCAGCCAGCCCATTAGCAAGCATTGATTGGGTGCCGATTGTCCAACTAGTGCTGGCTCCGTGAAAAGGGAGACAGGGAGAAAACATGTTGGCCTGGTCCCAGGATGTATGCATACAAGGTGGCCAGGGGTAGGGAAGGAGAATGCCTGGCACGGTGTGTGTAGGGGAGGGTGGGAGAGGAGGTCTCAGGAGGGAACCTGCAGAAGTGGGGGTCTGCAGGGAAGGCCTCAGGGACCCCCTGTCACACTTGTTCGGGAATGCTCCTTGTCCAGGGGAAGAGAGCTTAGTTCCCAGCAGCCTTGCAAGGAGATAAGATCTAGAATGGCTCGAATGCCTTAAGATGTCACAGAGGAAGGTACTAGTTGGCCAGGGCTGCCAACCACAGGTTTATTAAACAAACCACCTACCGGTTTATTCTCTCCCCATTCTGAGGGTTGGCAGGGACTGTGCCTGGGGTCTTTTCTGAAGCATGTCTCCTCAGCTTGCAGACAGCAGCCTTCTTGCTGTGCCCTCACATGCAATTAATTTTTTTTTTGAAAGGCAGAGTAAGAGTTAAACAGAGAGAGAGAGAGAGAGAGGGAGAGAGAGAGAGAGAGAGAATCTTTCTTCTGATAGTTCACTCCTGAAATAATTGCAGTGGCTTTGGGCCAGGAGTTTCATCTGGGGCTCCCACCTGAAAGACAGGGGCTCAAACACTTGAGCCATCTTCTGCTACTTTTCCCAGTCACATTAGCAGGGAGCTGGATTGGCAGTGGAGCAACTGGGACTCGAACCAGCACCCATCTGGGATGCTGGTTTTGTAGGCAGTGATTCCGTTAGGTTTTAGATGCACTTAAGGTTCTTATGCAGCTAATTCCTGTAGTCCAATTCTCTCTCTTTCTTTAAGATTTATTTATTTTTTATTGGAAAGGCAGAGATACAGAGAGGAGGAGAGACAGAGAGGAAGATCTTCCTTCTGATGGTTCACTCCCCAAGCACCCACAACAGCTGGAGCTGAGCCAATCCGAAGCAAGGAGCCAGGAGCTTCTTCCAGGTCTCCCACGTGGGTGCAGGGTCCCAAGGCTTTGGGCCGTCCTTGACTGATTTCCCAGGCCACAAGCAGAGAGCTGGGTGGGAAGCAGGGCTGCCGGGATTAGAACCGGCACCTGTATGGGATCCCAGAGCATTCAAGAGGAAGGCTTTAGCCACTAAGTTATTGCACCGGGCCCAGCCCAGTTCTCTTTTTAGGATAAATTCACCGCAAGCCGAAAATCTCAGACGCAGCTAGGTGCTTAGGAGATCCTTTATTTCAACAGGGTCGGAACAGGACTGGTTGGTGGGGAACAGGAAGGGAAGCGTCTCTCCTGTCATGGTGGCAGGATGGGAGCTGCAAGGGCAGGATGGGGAAGCAAAACGGAGGAGGATGTGGGAGAGCCAGGAGAAGGGGAGGAAGGGGAAGTAGGGAAAGGGGGCACACGCGGAGGATGTTTATACAACCCAGGTGAGTCTGGCAGGTGTGGGGGGCGTGGGGAATTGGTTGGGAGCAGGGGCTGTGGGCGGGCCCCTGGGGATCGGTGATGGAGATGATCTGAGCCACAAGTAGGTGGGTGGGGACTGGGAGAGGGACCATGATGGAGAACGATGGGCGAGGCTCTCAGGTAAGACGCCATTTCATTGGTGGATAACCAGAACGACACGAAAGTAGAGTCAAAATGGCTGAAGCCTTCAGGACCCATGTTTAAGTCACTCCTCACAGATTTGACTCATATGCCATAACAGTGGCCCCGATTTCCTCTTCTTATAAGGACACCAGTTGTTTGATCGGGGCCCGTTCTAAAGCCACCATCTACAAATGCGATCATACTCTGAAATACTGGGGGGTTAGGGCCTGGAAATGCACGGTTGGGGGTAGCGCGGCACTGCCAACATACAGGTGTTAGGCTTTCTCTGCGAGAGCCAGACAGTGGCTCTCAGAACTTGTGTCAAGTTGCTCTCAAGTCGAGGCAGCCAGGTGGCGTGGAGCAGGGGCCTAGGAATCAAACCGCAAGAGAAAGTGGAGGAGGCCAAGTTATAGCTGAATTTTACATGAACAACAAGTAGTGCTTTTTGTGTACTCACATTAAAAAAAAAGGTCTCCTTTGTGTATCTGAAATTCAAATTAAGTTGAATATCCTGTTTTTGTTTCTTTTTTAAATTCCATTTGAAATGCAGAGAGAGAGAGAGAGAGAGCTTTCCCTCGCCACTTCAATCCCCAGATGTCTCCAATGGTTGGGGCTGGACCCAGACTGAAGCTGGGAGCTGGGAACTTGGCCCAGGTCTTCCACATGGCTGTCAAGGCCTTACCTGTTATCTCCCTGGGTTTGCTCTAACAGAAAGCTGGAGCCAGGAGCCAGAGCTGGGAATCGAACCCAGGCCCTGTGGGCATCTGAACTTCTAGGTTGAGCACTCACCTCCATCTATGTCTTGATTGCTAAATATGTTGACCCTGGGGAGGGAGTATATTTGGCCCAGCCATTAAGATGGCTCTTGGGACATTCACATCCCATATCAGAGTGTCTGAGTTCGAGTCTCTACTCCCCAATCCAGATTCTTTCTGACTTGCACCCTCTAAGGCTAACTAGGTGACAGCTTAACTGGTTAGATTCCTACCTCTTCACACTGGAGTCCTGGATTGAGTTCCTAACCTGGCTTTAGTTGGACCCAGCCCTCCTGGGTTGTTGTGGACACCTGTGGGATAAACCAATACATGAGAGATCTGTCTGCATTTCCAGTGAAAAATTAAGAAGTTAAATGTTGAGAGCTGGTGTAGCTGCTTAGCATTCTAATCCTCCACCTGCAGTGTCAGCGTGCCATATGGATACCGGTTTGTATCCCAGTTGCAGTTCTGATTCAGCTTCCCACTAATGGCCTGGGAAAGCACCAGAGAATGGCCAAAGTCCTTGGAATCCTACACTCACATGGGAGACCTGGAAGAGGCTCCTGGCTCCTTGCTTCGGATTGGCTCAGCTCCAGCTGTTGTGGCTGTTTGGGGAGTGAATCAGTGGATGGAAGATCTTCCTCTCTCCTCCTCCTCCTCTCTGTATATCTGACTTTCCGATAAAAATAAGTTGAAGTTGGCACCCCTGAAGTGAGAAGAAAATACCAGAGCTTCTGACCTGTTAGCTAACAAGGAAGAGCGTTTTCCATTGTTAAACAACCTGGCCCCTATCTTTCTCCCAGCTACTAATTTATAAACAAAGTGGTTTGCCGTGGGGAATTTCCCGTTGCTTTCACCGGTAGGGATACGTGCTCAGGGAGTCTGGGAACTGTCTGTGAGTTAGCAAATGTTGGATCTGGGTGACGTAGAAGGGGGATTTCTGGAATCTTACTTGACAGCTGAGAAATCTGGGAACTGGAGATGGCCGGGGGTGGGGTGGGGAGAGGGGAGAAGGGCTGTGTGCCTCCGAAGAGGGAGCCCGGCAGGGAGCCACGGGTGTGTCCCTGTGTCCCCAGGCGTCTGGCCAGGTCCACCCTCCTGCTGATCCCGCTCTTCGGCATCCACTACGTGGTCTTCGCCTTCTCCCCTGAGGATGCGATGGAGGTCCAGCTGTTCTTTGAACTAGCCCTTGGCTCCTTCCAGGTAAGCTCTGCGGCTGGCTGCAAGAAGAGGGATTCATTTCTCTCTCCCTCTCTCTCTCTCTCTCTCTCTCTTTCTCTCTCTCTCCCACCACCCCGAGAAATGGAGACCACGGGCTCTGTAGGCCACAACTTCCAGGAGTGAGACAAAAGCTAGGAAGGGATCAGGGGTAGGAGGGGACACTCTGGGTGGGTTGCATGGTCCCCCAAGAGTCAAGTGAGGGGTGGGAGATAAGCCTAATATGGACTGAAGGGGGAAACCAGAGAGAGAGAGAGCATAAGAAAAGCAACCCCTAGGCACTTTCTATGGTACAGACACAGGCAGCATAGAGAGTAGAGGTGGGGGCCTCACTCACCACCAAGCCTAGCAGGTGGATGGCCACGTGTGAGTACGGAGCAGGCAGGAGATGGGCAAGAGTAGTGTCATCTCACTGGGAAACCAGCGGAAAATGCCCCAGACTGCTCCATCCCCAAGCCAGCTGCTTTGGCATTCTGCTTAGAGTCCTTAGAGTTGGTTAAGGCAGTTTCAAGTCTTGGCCTCTAAGGAACAGGAAACTGGGGGTGGAGGTGCCTGGAGGCCGCTGGGTTTTGTAACAAGAATTATTTGAGCCTTTAAAGCCAGATGGGTATACAGCTTAAAACTGACTTTAAAAAAAAAGAAGTGGAAAATCACCTGCTAACCCAATAAAATATTGTGAGGATTTTTTTTTCCTAAAAAAAGGAGGAAATTTGTTTATTCAAAAAGGAGCCTCAATTTGAATCCTTAAACTTTACAAAGTCATTGTTTATTTATTCAGTTATTTCCTTTCAAAAATAATGTGAGGTTGCTTTGAGAAAAAAACATAGAAGACAAAAAAATAAATAGATTGGAGGAAGAGGGAGAAAAAGAGTAGAAAAGTCAATTAAGTTTATACATAAGAACGGATCAATTAAGTCTGATAAAGGTGGCAGAGGTGGGCTGTACGTTTGACTTGGAGTTTCCCAGTAGGCAAAGAGAAGACAGTAATCATTGTTTCAAGATTTACCTTTTTTCTGAATAGAAACCGACTGCCAGGGGAAGGCAGGTAAATATAAGGTCTGGGGCTTGAGAGAAACTGAGTCCACCCTCAACCATGTGCATACACAGCTGCCCAGCAGAGCCTGGCGGCATCGTCCGCTTCGGGGCAGTTGTGCCTGGGGCCTTGCTGTCAAGCAAAGCATTCAGTAGAGTCAGGTCTCGTCACTTGGAAGTGCCAAGTGCCCCTGAGCATGGGTCTACTCTAGATGGACTGACTCAAAGATGCTCTCTAAGATAGGAAATAACCAAGGGCTGGCCTGGGGTGGGGTGGGATGGAAAGGGTAACTAGAGACCATCCCAGGTTGGGATTGGTCCTCCAGGCCTCTGTGGGGAGGGTGCCCTATTCTCAGGCCTGTTGGTGAGGGCTGGTGGCTGGGCTGCGGCTCTGCAAGAGGGCTGAGCAGAACCGGAAGTTCATGATCTTCAGGCTTTGTGGACACCCCAGACAATCCCGGACAATCCCAGACTCTGCCCTGCCAGGATCCTACGGGAGGCAATATCAAGAAACCATACCAGGCCCAGACTCCAGCAAGCCCTAGACGCATGGAACCCTGACCAGGACAACACATGCACCTGTCCACTAAGCTGAAAGGTTCAGGCCATTGCTGGCTGGCAGCCCGTGACCTGTAGAGTGTGTTCTTCCATGGCAACGAGTTGTCCTGTGGTCTCTAGGTTCACAGCTGGTCTTGCAAATGCCCAGCAGGGGCTCTCCCTTCACTGATATTGCTCCCCTCCTGATGGACACTTCAGGGACCACCTCTCTCTGCAGATGGCGCACGTCAGCAGCCTTCACTTTACTATCCCACATGCATTGGACAGGGCTGAGGGGAGGCAGGAGCTGAGAGGGACCCACAATCTGCTAGCAGGTGCTGCCAGCATAGCCCAGGCCACTAGCGGCAGCTGCAAAGAACTGGCCCTGATGCCCACGGAGATCAGAGAGGTGGAAGGGGAGGGGGAAATGGACAGGAGTTGTCTTGGTCTGTTCCCTGCTGAAGCCCCTGTATTAATTTGTGATCCTCCACCCTCCCTCCTGCAGGGGCTGGTGGTCGCCGTACTCTATTGTTTCCTCAATGGAGAGGTGAGTGTTCTAGGGGTGCCCCCTGAGACCCAGTGAAGCAGCAGGAGCTTCCTGGAAAGGGTGGGGGAGAGGGGAAAGATAAGAGGGGACAGGGAGCTGGGCCATATGTGCGAGGGGCAAGCCTGGGCTCCCAGGGGGCTTTTACCTCCTGGGGCACAGCAGAGTCACCTGTAGGGCCATGATGGCTGGGACCTGGGAGTAGGTGTTCAATGAGTGTTCTGGTGACTTCTCTCCATGGGCATGTATGACTCTGGCCTTTTACGGAGTGTTCAGGTCACCATGGAACCCATGCTGCTAGTTGAATATGGGTCTTGCCCAGCAGCCAGGCCTCAGTGTGCCTAATACTGAGTGCTGCCCATGTACCAGGTTTGCCACATGCCTGTGGCAATGACCCCGATGATTTCCAGAAGCCAACAGCAAGCCCAGCCTCAAGGGCTTGCTGCTGCAGAGCTGAGGATCGGGAAGGAAATTTCCATGGAAGAAACCATTGGTTCCCTGTCAGGTTATCATCTACCCAGGAGCCAGAGTTTGAGCCCTGGGGTTTGGCGACACATGGTGGGATGAGCTGGCAGGTGCTCTCTGTCCTCTAGAAATGTTGGGGGCGGAAATGACCCGCCTGAGTGATCTGCACATGACAGGTTGCCAAGCTGGGCTGGGCAGCAGCAACAAAACTTGTGCAGAGGCCCTGGGGATGGAGTGGGGTGCAGGCCTGGGCTGTCATTCCTTTCCTGGCTGACGGTGGTCTTGTGCAGGTGCAGCTAGAAGTTCAGAAGAAGTGGCGGCAGTGGCACCTCTAGGAGCTGGCGCTGCGCCCGGTGGCTCTCAGCTCTTCCTACAGCAATGGCACAGGTGGCTTCATCCCTGGCATCAAGGCCTGCCCTGCAGAGCACAGCCAGGACACCCACAAAGCCAACAGGGCTTTCATGTGAAAGGCCAACCGGGACATGGCTCCCAGACATCCCTGGAGGACAGTAACCTCAGGCTGTGAAGACTTCAGAACTGAGCAGCTGCATTTGGGGCACCACAAGTGGGAGGAGGGCCTGGTATTTGGGGGCCCTTTGTGCTCTTCCGGGAAGAGAAGTTCAAGGGTGCACAGGAGGGGGTGGGGATTTGGTCTGCAGCTGTTATGTTCGTTAGCTCTATGACACAAAGGGAGAAGGCTGCTCCATCTCACACCTGACTCTGCTGGTCTCAGCTCAGGGCCAGGACAAGCTTACACACCATGGGCTAGTTCCTGTTGGTCCTGCACAGAAGTTCACTGTCTGTCCTCTCACTAGAACTAAGTTGATCTGATTAAGTCTCAGGTATCAGGGGAGCCGGAGGCTGCTGGCATGGTGTGAGCATGCCCAGTGAGCAGGTGCAGCAGGACACGGGGCATGACCTCATTTCACAGGTGAGAAGCAGGTTCATTGAGGCTCTATAAATGCACCCAAGTCACTCTACGAGGTTGGCGGACAAGTGTGCAATCCAAGGCTTCTTTAGTTCACATGCCCACGCTCGCAGCCAGGGAAGGACTAGCCCCTATCTCTCCCCTCATTTCACTAAAGATCTTGAGGACGTCCGTCTCATCTCTCCCTGTGGCTCTCAGTTCTCTTCCCTTGGAAAAGCATCTCACAGAAGTTCACAATAGATGAAATTAAAAGTTATTAAGAGGCCCGGTGCAATAGCTTAGTGGCTAAAGCCTTCCTCTTGAATGCTCTGGGATCCCATACGGGTACCAGTTCTAATCCCGGCAGCCCTGCTTCCCATTCAGCTCCCTGCCTGTGGCCTGGGAAAGCAGTCGAGGACGGCCCAAAGCCTTGGGACCCTGCACCCGCATGGGAGACCTGGAGGAAGTTCCTGACTCCTGGCTTCGGATCGAGCTCAGCTGTGACTATTGTGGTTGTTTGGAAAGTGAATCATCAGAAGGAGGATCTTCCTCTCTGTATATCTGACTTTGTAAAAAATAAATAAATCTTAAAAAAAAAAAAAAGTTATTCTGGGAGCCGCCATTGTGGTATAGCAGAAGAGGTTGCCAGTGTCCCATATGGACAGCAGCTCAGGCTCTGGCTGCTCCACTTCCAATCTAGCTCCCTGCTAAAGGTCTAGGAAAGCAATTAAGGATGGCCCAGGTGCTTGGACCCCTGCACTCACGCGGCAAGCCTGAAAAAGCTCCTGGCTCCTGACGTTAGCCTGGCCCGGCCCTGGCCGTGGTAATCATTTGGGGGTAGAGAACTGAGGGATGGAAGATATCGCTCTCTCTGTAACTGCCTTTCAGATAAGGAAATAAATCTTTAAAAAAAAATTCATCTGTCATAAAAAAAAAATTGAAATCCATGCAATTTTTTTTTCATGGTCTGCATTTTGCACAAACTTCTTGAAGAACTGTCACATGCATGGATCTCAAAACTGCTTCCTGCCATACTTGAGGGCAGAAGGGTGAACTGTGGAAGGAAAAGAAGCAACTTCTCCCTAGCCCCAAACCCCAAGGGCGAGAGGAAACAAGAGGAAAGGACAGCTGGCCTGTGGCCTGTGGCAGGCTGCTCCAGCCCCGCCTTTGCCTGGCTCTGCCCTCCCCTGCCTTTGGTCCTTGCCCCTCTGCACCAGACAAGGTCACCCCCTTTGCACACTTCCCGGCCTGTGTAGCTGAGGACTTCTATTCCTCGGAAAATTCAAAGTTCCCAGGAACTTGGACTTTGACCTTGGTTGTTCAACCTTAGAAGCTGCCATGCCACACTGCCTGACTGGGGGAGTCTCATGGAATAAGAATTTTAAAAAGGTAAAACCGATCCTGATGGAGGTGGGAGCTGGGTGCAGTGAAGCCGCTGCTGCTGCCTGCCTCGCTTCTGGCTGCAGCTGTAACAACGCACACCTGGAGAGGCAGCAGGGCACGGCTCCCTTCCATCCCACGTGGGAGACTTGGATTGTGTGTCTGTGGAAGGAACCAGCGGCTGGAAGGTCCGCATCTGGCTCTGTTCGTGTATCTATCTCTTTGGAAGCAGATAAACAAAACTTTTAAAGAAAGAGAGAAACCTTATGTTTTGACTTGCTTCATAAAAATTCCACTGAGGCAGACAGCGGCACCCAGTCCAGTCCTGAGGGGAGTCTAGCCATAAAAAGGGCAAGGCCAAAACCCCATGCAATTGGTGGAAACCAGAACTCAGAATTCACCAGGAAGGGAAGAGGTGGGGGTGGGGGTGTGGCTGGTGTAGAAAGTAAAGGGTTGAAAGCAAACTTGGCCTCTGGCTGAGCTGGAATGGTGCAGTGCAAGGGAGGCCCATGAGGCTGGGCCACTCAGGGTGTCCACGTCCCCCTCACCTCCCTCCACCCCTAACCCCTGCCCCACATCTGTGGATGACCAGCATGGTTGTTAATTATCACCCAAGGCCTGGGTGTACCCCGCACTCCTGCAGAGCTCAGGGGCTCTAGATCTGTGCTTTCTGACGGGCAATCTAGGCCTCCCACAGGTCATGTGCAGAAGGCAGACGCCCAGCCCACATCCCAGAGGTCGGCTGGGAGTCAGTAGGGCCCTCCTGGGAGGGTGGGCCCCACAGCAGGGTTCTGACAGCTGTGCGCAGGACACTGGAGCAAATTCTGCAAGACCCCTCACTGTCATGCCCCAAGCTAAATCCAGAGAGATGTGCCTGGAGGCCCTTGCAAGTGACAAAAGAAAGTGTAGCACAGAGCCAGCCGGCCCCAGTGCCAAGAAGAACAATCCATTCTTAGCAACCTTTGGCAGTCTACCGCCTCTCCCAGCATTCAGTCAACCCAACAAGTGTGAGATGAACTTGGCTCTGCAGCCAAGGCCCGCACCCCAACTACCCAAGAGGGCTTCCAAATCTATTCCAGTCCAAGAGAGACACACACAAGAAAAAGACTTGCAGCTGAGTTTTCTTCTCCTATAATCATCATCCTAATAGCAGTGACGGGGCCTGTGACAGCTGGTGGCCCAGAGACACACCCTCCTGGCCTTCAGCCCTGCTGACTGCCTCAGGGGTCCTGAGCCTGGATGACCACTTAAAGGTCAGTGGCCCCACAAGCCAGCAGCTTCAGGATTATTGCCCCACCCCACCCCTGCCAGAAGTGACACTGGACCAGTCCCATGTTGACCACATCTCTCACAGCCTGTCTAGAATTTTCCTGGCTAGCCCCAGGGCTGGGTGATGCTGTTGACGTGCAGGCCGCTGATGCCGTTCAGGAAAAAGAGGAAGGAGGCGGTGAATTCGCACCAGAAGGTCAAGGTGAAGCCGATGAACGTGGCCTGGTTCCTGAGCAGGTTCACGAAAGTCAGAAGCCCCCCGCCAGACAACACGAAGGCGACCAGAAGCAGCCTGGAGCCTATGGCCCACCTGGACCGTGCGTGCTTATCCTTGCACACCTGAGACACCATGAGCATCTCCAGGCCAAAGATGGCAGCCACCACGGCCAGCGTGGCCATGCTACGGGCCAGGATCATGCCCACGGCCAGCCCGGGCACCTGGCTCTGACTCAGGTCTCGGAGGCAGTGCAGCCCAGTCTGGTTGGTGGCGGTGCAGAAGTGCCACAGGCCGAAGAGACGGTCCTCAGCAAGAAGCCAGCGCCCGTCACAGATGGAGACTGAAGAGATAACCACGGCCAGTGTCGCACAGGTTATGATGAGGGTCCGGATGAAGGCTTCGAAGAAAGATCGGTGGGGCTTCCTCTGGGGGCCCCACAGCCTCTGCACCTGGAAGACAGCAGGGGGTACGGCATGTCAGTGAGGGCCCTGCGTCACACTCCCTGCCATCCCACTCCCCACAGCCCGGTTTTCTGCTCCACAAGGCTCCACGGTTTTCCCCCACAAGGCTAGGAGGGTGCCCCCTACTCGACACCCCTGCTGTCCTGTCCTTACTTCGTCACCTGTCTGTACCCCCCTTGGGCTTTCTTCCTCCTGGATCTCCTCAATGGGTGGAAAGTCCCCAGTGACCGGGCAAACCTTACCCTTGCCAAGAAATCCCGTCTGGCCAGACTCATGTGACCTTGAGCATGCCACCCGTCTGGGGTTCTTTGCACTCAAAACAAGAGCACTGCCTGGCAGGGGCAAAGCATGGAACATGAGCCTCTAGTGGCCATAAAGGCTGGCTTCCCTTCTGTGCCCAGCCCACCTGCTGCTGCACTGTCCACACTCAGGCCACTGGCACTGCCCACTCTTCTTTTGTTTTCCCTCACAATTCAAAAGTGACGTTTGCTCCTGGCCCAGCCACAGAATCCATCCCAGAGCCGGCCAACTCAAGGATTGGGTCTAGGCATAGGAAAGCTAACATAACAGCTCTCCCCTGCTCCCTGACTCAGCATGGTGCAGCTCCACCACCTCAGCAGCATTGCCCCTCCGCTCGGGTCTCCTGGGCAAGGTCACAGTCCAGGGCACATCATGGGGACACTGCTCTCAATCCCCCTGCTACCGCCATACCTAGGAAGCAGGAGTGCCTAAGATTCCTTACACAGACACCAGGACTGCCTGCCTGCCTGCCTGCCTGCCTGCCTGCCTGCCTGCCTGCCTCTCCTACTGCCCAGCTCATCTCTCTGACTGTGCGGCTGGCTCTTCTCCCATCCAAGTACTAACCAGGCCCGACCCCGCTTAGCTTCCGAGATCAGACGAGACTGAGCGCGTTCAGGGTGGTATGGCCGTAGACATCTCTGCCTCTTCTTCCCCCTGTGCCTCACGGCTCCTGTCACCACCCCCTGCCCGCTCAGAGCTCAGCAGATCCCGTCTCAGGCAGCCTGTTTGCTCCCTGCAGATTATCATCTGTCCCACTCGGACGCGGTGTCCTCTAGGCAGGTAGCCTCGCCCACGGTGTCTAGACGCTGCCATGTGCTCAGTATCTGGTACTATGTTGGACCCGGGCACTCAGTGGGCACTCCAGAGCCAGTCAGGAGACAAATGAAGGCTTGAATTTACAACCAGCTCTAGGCCAAGCCGAACATTTCAAGCATTTGGGGGAAGCGACCAACAGAGGGAAGATGTCTTTTTCCCTTTGCTTTTCCAAGAAGATGAAAATAAATAAAAATGTATATAGAAATGACTCAAGGAAAAACTTTAAAAACATTTATTTATTTGAAAAGAGAGCTGTATCATGTATCTACTGGCTTACTGTCTCAATGGCTGCACAGCAGGTCTGGGTCAGGCCAAAGCCAGAGGGCAGAAGGCAAGAATTTCATCTTTGTTTCCCACAGAGCTGGCAAGGGTCCAAGGACTTGAGTCATCTTCCGGTTTTCCCAGGTGCATTGCCAGGCAGCTGGATCAGAAACAGAGCAACCAGGACTCCAGCCATTATGGGATGCTAGCATCATAGTCAGAAGCTTAACTGGCTGTGCCACCACACCTGCCCCTAAGTGAAACTTTGAAAACCTCTGAGGGTCCAGCACTGTAGCCTAGCAGCTAAAGTCCTTGCCTTGCACGCCCAGGATCCCCTATGGGTGTTGGTTTGTGTCCCAGTGGCCCTGCTTCCCATTCAGCTCCCTGTCTGTGGCCTGGGAAAGCAGTCGAGGATGGTCCAAAGCCTTGGGACCCTGCACCCATGTGAGAGATCCAGAAGCTTTGGATCTGCTCAGTTCTGATTGTTGCGTTCACTTGGGGAGTGAATCACTGGACGGAAGAACTTCCTCTCTGTCTCTCCTCCTCTCTGTATACTTGACTTTCCAATTAAAAAAAAAAAAAAGAAAGAAAGAAAAAGAAAACCTTTGAGCCTATGTGTCTATTCTTCAGACCAAAAAAGGCGTTTGTCCCAGGGCAGTTTTTTAGCCTCTTTGGTCTTGTTTTTCACATCTATAAAATGGAATTGGTGCCACTTTCGGGAAATCGGTAGCCATGAAGCACCTGACCAGGTTGCAGTGCCGTTAGGGACAGACACAGAGGACAAGTCACAAGGCCCTCCTCAGCCCCACCTGCCCGGTGCACTGGTCTTAGGCCATCACGTACTCACACACAAGAAACAGCTGATCCTGTTTTGTCTCTCCCCTTCTCACGGCAAAGCAAGGCTTCCTGGAAACTCTCTGATGGTCAATAAAACTTATAAACACCGAGGGAGATCACGCATATGCTGATGCACAGCACAGGGGCAGCTCTGGGTTAGGATGGCTTTTAATACTAGTAACCATGACAACCCATGTGAGCATCTTTATTCCTAGTCACCCCGGGCTGCCACACCTCTGCTGGCTTCCAGCAAGACAAGGTCTGAAATCTTGTCCCTGGGAGGCAGCCAGCCAAGCATGGCCAGCAGTAGTGGACAAGAAGACAGTGGTTCCCACTCCTGACCTGCAAGCCTTCAGCCATGTACTTCCGGGCAAGCACCTGAATTGCAAAGAAACTTGACTTTCTGCGACCAAAAATAGCAATGCAAGCACGCCCACCCCTTCTTTTCAACTGTAACCCGAGATGACTCCCAGAGGCCTACAGAATGGGGTCCCAGGGTCCCACTTGGGATGAGTCCAATACTATGGTTGTGTCCTTTGCTGTGCCCCAGAACTTCACCTGTTCCTCTCAACCAATAGCACCTGTAAGTGAACACTTTGGGCTCCTCCTTGTTCATTCCTCAGATCTGCAGCATGGTGCCTGTATTTTTTGCCTGTCACCCACCTTACACATTCCAGGCCCAGGACAGTCATCAATTGTCCCCAGCATCAGTGTCTTAAAATGCCTTCAACAACCTGTGCAGGGGTCAGCTTCCCACAGGTCCCTGAGCTGGTTTTTGTAGCTGTTTGACCTCTAGCAAGTCAGCACGTACCCTCTCCATTCTACAGCTCAGAGAGAACTGAACACAGAGCTGCTTTTGTCTCAAAAACATTAAAAAAAGAAGAAGAAGAAGGAAAAGTGCTCATTCTAAAACAACTAGACCTGAGTTTCCTGTTACTTTGGCACCAAAATAAATGTATCTGTATATGCCATTTTTCCACTGGCTTTTGGAGGTACTCGCCTCTCATGGTTTTTGCAAGGTTGAAAAAGGTAAGGGCTACAACCAGGCCAGCTTAGCACCCCAGGACCTCTCTCAGCTCTGAGCATAGCCACCTGCACTGATGGGAGGGACCCTCATCCCCTCCAGCCCTGCACCAGCTGCCACCTGCCGCCTCCTGGCCCTCCCCGTCCCCGTCCTGCACGGACCACCACCTGGTTCTGCTCACTTTTCTCCCAGCCCCCTCCTCCCCCCCCAACTCCTGTTCAACCCAGCTCAAAGTCCTTCTCTGCCTGCCCCCTCCGGGTGTTCTTGGATGAAGCTTTTGCACGTCTTCCTTCAGCACTCACTTCCTCATCGCATTCCTTGTTTACAAGTCTCTCTCTCCCACAGGCTGAACTGAATGTTCCAGATCCCATCCTTGCCAGGACTTGTCCAGGGCAGCTGCAGGGGTCAGATTCAAGACCCTGCAGCAAAGCAGAGCAGAGGAAAGCAGCGCCTCCCCCTTCCCTACCCTACCATGCAAACCCAGCAAGCAGGTGTCCTGGGAGTGGGCGTCTCCTGTTCTCTAACAGAAATGCAGGCTGAGGCTCTCAGTGCAGCTCTAAGGCTAGAATCTGTCACCTCTGCCCACCGTGGACACAGTCCTCCCTGAGCCTCAGTGACTTCATCCATGAAATGGGCGCAGCACCTGCCCCATAGAAGCTGGTCAGCGGGTAAGAGGAGGCTCCCGGCCAACGCAAACAAGCCAGCGCTTTGGGGAGGGGGTGTCTGCTCTCTTCAGGGCCGCTCAGACCCCCATCCCACTCCCACCAAGGCACAGAAACCCAAAGGCGGCTGGAGGGAAAGGTAGTCTTCCTGGCTTCCACTCCTAGAAAGTTCTGGCTTCGTAGGACAAACCTGGTCCCGTTACATAAGCCAGACCACACCTGGCGAATCCCACCCACGGCTCATTGGTGACCCCAGAGGGACGCGGGAAAGTCCTCCCCGGGGCAGTCTCGGGGACGTCTACGGGAGCCTGGGCACACCTCCTCCCACCCCCCGACAAGGGCTGTCTGCGCCATCCATCGCCTGGGACCCTACAGGTGTGCAACAGGCTGCCGGAGCCCGCAGCAGGTGCGAAACCGACTGTGCGTCCCAACCCCCGTACCGGGCAGCTCCCCCGCGCGGGCGCCCACGGGCCCCGGGCTACCTGCACGCCCACGGCAGTCATGCTGGATCCGAGCGGCCACGCGCCACCGCCGCTTCGCTCCGGCCCGGGCGCTGGGCTCCCGCGGCCGCGCAGCGCGGACCTCTCCCGGGAGCCGGGCGGGGCGGGGCGGAGCGTTCAAGAGTCGCGGGGCGGGGACCCCGGCGCTCCCTGCGCCCTCGGCGCCGCCGGCCACCGCTCCGGTTACGCTGAGTCAGCGCGGGCGCCCGGAGGAGCCTCTGGGTTCAGGGAGGTGGATCAGCCCGGCACTCTTGCACAACGACGGAGATCAGTGAGGGCCCGGGCAAGGAGGTCTCGCAGGCAGCCGCCCGGGGGTCCCTGGGCTGCGGGTGCCCGTTAAGTCTTGGGTTAATGAGTAAGCCAGCGCCCGAGCTAGGCTACGGGCGTCCATTCCCTCAGGGGGACTTAGGACAAATTTTTTGATGGAAGAGGTCGGGGTGAGGGCTCTGATGGTGGTGTCCAGGAGGCTGGGGGCGGGGGAGGGGAGGGGAAGAGGTAGGCCTTGCAGACCCCCCTGCCTGATTCCCCAAACAACCCCCTCCCACTTGAGCTGGTCGTCCCAGACAGCAGCAGCTCCTCCCTGTGTAGAGGCAGTCCTTCCCACAACCCCCGGAAGGAGGGCCTGGTGGGCAGTGCTCAGGTTAAAAGGGGAAGCAATGGTCAGGCTCAATGACGTGCACCTGCCAAGAGGATCTCCTGCATGCTCAGGCGTGTGCAGGGGTGTGTATGGTCCGGGGTGCAGTGTTGGCAAGGACACAGAAGTCTTGAGTCAGTAGAATTCAGAGCCACGTGTCAGCAAGACCACTGGAGAAGCAGAAATGACTTAAGAATAAAAGAGGAAGTGGCTATCCGGTTCCCATCTCTAAGAAGGCTACGGATGGAGAGTCCAGAGTTGCCCAAGGACCCCCGTGGCCTTAGGCGCTTGGGGGCAACCATGAATCCACAGTAACTCTTCTTGGTGTCCTCCCCACCTCTGGGGAGAGGCAGAGAACTCGTGGGGGGTGGGCCAGCGTGGTGAGGGGCTGGGATGTTAGCGTCCTCAGGGGTTCAAACCAGAGACGAGTATGAGTGATGGATTGAAATGCCCAGCCTGCCCAGCCTTGAACTTTGTCTGCATCATCTCCAGACAATGTGAGAGGTTTGACACCTGCTGGCACCCTCTTTACATATGCCTGCTCCAGGGTCAAAGAGGAGAGAAGATGTAACGGCCACCCCCCAACCCCTCTCTGGCCATTCCTTAGAGTCTTGCAAAGCAAAGGGCAGGGACACAGAACTCACGTGTGTATTAACCAGCAGATTCATCAGTCAGCACACAAACACTGTCTCACCACAGGGACTTTGTACTTGCTGTTTCTTGTCCCTGAAACTTCTTCCAGTGCCCAGCACAATGGTTCAGTGGTTAAAGTCCTTGCCTTTCAAGTGCCGGGATCCCACATAGGTGCCGGTTTGTACCCTGGCTGCTCCAGTTTCCATCCAGCTCCCTGCTCACAGTCTGGGAAAGCACTAGAGGATGGACCAATGCCTTCAGACCCTGCACCTGTGTGGGAGCCCCAGAAGAAGCTCCTGGCTTCAGATTGGCTCAGCTGCAGCTATTGCTGCCATTTGGGGACTGAACCAGCAGATGGAAAACCTTTCTCTATGTCTCTCCTTCTCTCTGTAGATCTATCTTTCCAATAAAATAAATAAATCTTAAAAGACAAACAACAACAACAACACACACACACACACAAAACCACCACCAACAAAAAACAAACAGGGCCTGGCACAGTAATCTAGCAGCTAAGGTCCTTGCCTTGCCCTGCTTGTGGCCCAGGAAAGCAGTTGAGGATGGCCCAAAGCTTTGGGACCCTGTACCCGTGTGGGAGACCCAGAAGTTCCTGGCTTCAGATCTGCACAGTTCTGGCCATTGTAGTCACTTGGGGAGTGAATCATCAGGCAGATCTTCCTCTCTGACTCTCCTGCTCTCTGTATATCTGACTTTCCAACAACAACAAAAATCTTAAAACAAACAAAGCCGTCTTCCTCCATACCCGGAGGCCCACCACTATCAAAGGCCTGGGGGTCAAAGCTTGGGGGTCGCCTTGTCAGGCAAGCCTATTAGGATCACCCCACTGAAACCAGGTGTCTGCTCTGTGCCTTTCCCTCCTATTGTCTCCCCCAAACCCATTCTACTGTGGACAAGAACAAAAATACAAAAGTTCCATGATCTTAATCGATGTTACTTACAACTTTGAGACTTGGGCAATGTTCTTCTGTTTAATAAAATGAGCAGCAAGAAAAGTGTTTGAGGAAGAGTAGCGAGTGGGGGATTATTTCAGAGTTCTTTCCTGTCAAGGCAGGTATGGAGGAGGGAGGAGGAGAGAAGGGAAGTCTACCGAGCAACACAGAATGGATTAATACCAGGTTGCTTTAGGCTTAGCTTCTAAGGCAGAGGGCAGTTGGCTCACTTGCTGGCTGAAATGGACTGCCTTGGGCAATGTGGTGTCCTTTCTGTAAATCTTGATTTCTTGGAAGAAATCAGAAACCGCCTGATGGAGTGGCACTTGAGGGTGAGTGACTGCTCTCTGAGCTTCTGCTTGGGGTATGAGGGCTGGTGCAGGACCTTGGTCCCAAGCAGGCACCTGCTATGACTTGGATAGATCAGCTGCAAAAGCCATAATGGGCCCCGTACTTTGGTGTGTCCCCATGTCTGGTCCCTCAGCTCAAAGCCACGAATGCCTAGTAGGTTGTCAGCACAGTCCTGACCGGTGAGGGAAGAAAGGACTTGGACCTTGGGGAAGAAATACCACCTGTTCTACATTTCCCTTCTCTGGCTTCCGTGGTTCAAGTCCCATATGTTCCATCTCCCTCCTTTCCTCTGTCCCCTCTAGCCTGTGTGACCAACTCCACTCTCACCCTTGTCCCTGCAGATACCTTCTCGTCTCCTTCCCAAACCCCACAAGACTGGGACCAATTGGCCCCTGCCCAGTCCTCCTTGCACCTTCACTCCCTTGGCTGCAGCCCCTCTGGCCTGCTCAGAGCTCTGGTGCAGCCAGCATTTCGCAAGCACCCCCACCTTCCCTCTTGCCACTCTTTATGATGTTGTCCGTGGGTATTTAAAAAATGGAAGAATGAAAAAAAAAAAAGGAAGAATGGAATGAAAAGACAGCTTTGTTTGGTGCCAAAATATTGTTCAAAGCCGTGCCTTCGAGTTTTGCATAATAGGCATTTCCCCTAAACTTTTGGAAGGGCTCCTTGTATGCATGGATTTTCAGAAACATTTGCATCTGGTAGCTTATCCTTTAGCTGCACTTTCCATGAGCTGGTTGAAATATTCCACCCCTTCTTGACCCCTAGTCTAACTTACCTGTGTCTTCCTGCGTATTGTCCCGTTCCTATTTTAAACATGTTAAGCTCAGGGAGAGCCAGAACTGCTCCAGGCTCAGTCCCCAGTCCCTCCCCTTCTCTGCCTCCCTCTCCCCTTCCCTTCCTTTAAGTCTTGAATACACTCTGGACAAACAGCTGCTTTCTGTGAGCCTGGATGTTCTAGCAGATGGGGAACCATCTCCTTTCTGGTGCTGGGAGGAGCTCATATGACTAAATAAAGCCATGACATCGTTGTGGCCAGGTGATGGCACCCCACGGCAGTGAGAAGATGTGATATTTTAAAAGAGGACAGGAAGGGGATAATGCCCTGACATAGTACTAGATTTTGAGTGTGGCTGATCAAAGCTTCTGTAAACATACTTGTCTGCTGATTGGCCTAAGGTGTAAGTTGATTGGATTATGCAGTGCTTAAGTTGATTGCTTTGTAATATGCACCACCTGAGTTGATTGGAAAATCCCTGGCTGCATTGCATCAATGGGAGCATAAAAACTCCCGGCTTTGACCATGCGGGGCAGCGGTTCCTGGAGTGTAGCGGAAGTTGTTGTCACCAAGCTTGGCTAATAAAGACTCCTTCTAACATCCTACATCGTCTGGTGTGATCTCGCTCTCCCTAACAATCATGAGTTAAGTCCCCAGTATGGAGCAGGTGTGGTGGTACAGCATGTGGCACTGTTGCTTGGGATGCTTGCATCCGGCATCACAGTGCGTGGTTAGCTGCCCGCCCCTCACTGCTAGTGGAAGGCAGAGATGATGACACAAGTACTTGGGTTCCTGTCACCCTCATGAGAGACCCGCGTAATCCTGACTCCTGGCTTTGTCTGGCCTGCCTCTGACTGTTGTAGGCACTTGGAGAGTGAGCCAGCCATGGAAGATTTCTTTCCCTGCTCTCCCCATACTGCTCTGTGTATCTCTGCCTCTCAGATAAATAAAAAAAATTTTTAAGTATTCATCTTAAAAAAATGCTATGGGATTCAGCATCACCAGTGGTGGTTTAAGTCACTGTGCCACAGCACCAGACCCAGTTTATAATTGTTTCGGGTGGTGGTTGGGGGGGTGGTGCTGGGTGTGGGAAGAGGGAAGAGGGGGCAGGGGCTGCTGTTGTTCTCATGGCCTCTGGCTCCAGGAAACTTTAGATGGGAGGCTCGCCTCTATCTCTGTTGCCAGAGGGCCATAGCCTGGGGGAAGGAGAATTCTGAGCTGAAGAATTTCCCTTGGAACAGTTGGGGTGTGGACATGGGCGGGTCTTTGGGCTAGAGGGGGTTAGGATAGTAGTGGGGTTAGCACTGAGTAGCCGCCTCTCACAGCTCCCTGTGCTGTTTCAAAGCTGCCTGGTCCTGCCATTCCACCTGTGCCTTTTGCTTCGGCTCTCTCCCCTAGAGCACTGCATGAGGCCTTAAAGGGAAAGCCCCAGCCCCACTGCCTTGCCCCTCCTCTGTTTCTGCAGCCTGCCTGCACCTACCACCGCCTCCTTTTTCTTTTCCTGGATGGTGGTCCCGATCGCAATGGGTTCCCTAGACTTCCCAGCCAGGCCCTCCATGCCTCAAGCCTCAAGCCCTGCATTCCAACCTTGATCTCTCTCTTCACACACTGGATTGCAACACACACTTTGTTTTTAGCATTTCTAGCATACTTGGGGAACTGCGGGCTACCCGCTCTGCCTCTGTGGCTTGCAGGAAGTGCCAGCCCCCT